GGTGTGCGGCGCACCGAAGAGCTGCCTTCAAGCTGGTAGTTCCTGTGCCATGCTTTAGGTGATGCTGTGCTGCTTCCGAAATTGTTCCGGCGTAGACGTGCACTTTCACGGAGCACAGGTGTTGCAGTTGGTATTGATCCCGCTGGTCTGTCGCACGTTTCGTCAACACAAACGTTTCATCCACACTCGTTACGCTAATTGCAAGCTGTCCGGACTTTTCATCGAGCGTGTTACGTACCCAGCTCACGCCGCTTTGTGGCAACAGTCTGCAGTGGCTCATTACCAGAAAAGTAGTCCCACATCCATTTCAGTTCAGTTCGTCCACGGCAGTCGCCAAACCCCGAAGGAGAGGATTTATTCGGACAAAATGCCACTAAAGCAATGCAGCTTCTTCAGTGGTCAGGATAGATTCTCTTCTGCGAGTTTTGTTATACTGTCACGGATCCTTGTTCATGTCGTAGTCGGGGAAGAACATGGACCAAAGAAGGAGAACGTAATCGGAGTACCACAAGGAGCGGTCTTATCACCAATGCTTTTTAACATGGTAATGGCAGATTTAGCCTTCGCACTAGAGAAGGTTGAAGGGCAGTCCTATCTTCTATCAATACTCACTATTCTGGGACACTGCAGGTGATGCTCAGCTGTAATCGTATGTTCTGGTGGAGGTGCTGGGCACTTTACCCATAGCCCTTCACTCTGTGTGAACCCGGCGGCTTCTCAGCCGAGTTACCCGATAATGGGACACGGCTGGTGGACTATCCTGCGTCTTATACCCCCGTCGAGCCGTAAGCAAAGTCCTGACCCGAGCCTGGCAGAACAACCGCAAGACGACTGAGTACCACAAGGAGTAACCTCGGAAATACACCACGAAGCACCTGAAATCCAAGCCAGTTGCTGCTACCAGGAAAAACCACCGGAATTCGGTCTCCTGTCAGAAAATCCGAAGCTGACTAAGCCAACAATGACAAACCTGTAGCAGCAAACCGTGTCCCCTCCCACCATTGATTGCATGCCCGTCGCAAATCGCACTCCGACGCTTTTTCACGCAAGCTGTATGAAGACGTCAAGGACTGGATTGAACAATATGACAGTGTCGCCCGCCACATTGGGTGGACAGACAACCAGCTCCTGCAGAACCTATACTTCTCGTGGAAGAAACTGCCGGCCCTGGTCTGAGAACCATGGATCCTCCTTAACGTCATGGGAAGTTTGCAAGATCGGGCTGAAGCGCGCATTCGTCAGCCAACATCAACGAGAGAGAGCCGCATTCTTGATTCTGTCCAGGACACTGCCCCAACGAGAGCGCCACCGCACTCGTGGAGGATGTTTTGCGCTTGATCGAGCGCCCACGCCCACGCCGACCTTGATGCTACAGAAGACAAGAACCTAAGAATCCCATGTCCCTCACGTGAGGGACAACACCTTCGGCAGCCTTGTCCGCAACCCCCAACAACGGTCGAAGTGTTCATATCACCGAGGCTTCCAACATGGAATGTGCACTGCATGCCCAAGGCTGCCACTATGAACAACTTCCCGGCGTCTCGACACTCGAGTTGTCCAGCTACTACTTCGACGCCAGCCTCCCAGGCATCCACGACATCATCCACGACGTTGTCTGGGAGGAGATCAGGAAGCTACTTCCTGCTGTCAGTTGCCCGGCTTTTATTTTGATTGCCGAGATTGTTTCGGAACAAGTTTGACAAGTATTTCAACCGAGACTTCTGCGAGCGAAGCGGCATCTGACAAACCAAGGGCAACTTACGCCACAATGGCACGACGACCACCACCGGCTGCCCCTTGGTATTCAATGCCAATTCAATGAGACACTCTAACGCCGAAGCATTCCCGACATCGTGTGTAGGTATGTGCTCAACAAAGTACACCGAGGAAAACGTAGGTGATGCGAATGTGCGACCGAAAACCACTTTGCTACCACTGCATGAAGCCGACCATGTCTACCAAAGCAGCCTGTACCAATGAATTGGTCTGCGAGGGTTCGTGCCAAACGACCCTCGATTACGTCTCGAGGAGCGACCACGGGAGATTAAGGATTACCTTCGGCGACCTTTGTCCCTGATGCCGGAGGTGCTGAATCGAAGATTCTGAATCCTTGATTACCCCGAAGCTCCTCATGTCCATCACCTCAACAAGAGGTAAGCACGACAAAGCAGGTGAGCGGCGATGCAGTGACAGTGGATTTGGTGTCGGTTGTCGTCCAAGGACAATACCTAAAAATTTGCTGACACCAATTTTCTGTGTCCACTTCATGAAGCACACAATTTCCAACTTTGAGGGAGAATGCCCCTGAGTGACTTAAAGGAATAGAATGGTTGGTTGCTCTCAAAAGTGAACTGCAAGCATCACCAGACTTGGATAGCAAACAAAAAATTGTTGCCAGCTATCAAGTCAACGGTACAGCAAAAGGCACAGCCACGTAAGCAATACATGCCCGAGCCTGCTGCATTGATGCCGAAAACTACCAGGAAAATTTTCGGATTAGAAGCCAGCCCTGCAGCTTCAGTGCATTAGACGTCAGTGGCCGCACGTGACGTATGATTACAAGACGGCATCAGTCGGTCAAAGTTGCCACTCGACCAAACTGAACACCGACGTGCCAGGAGCGTCATCCGACAAAAAGGTCCACAGGTACTACGACTGAACGCCTGACACGAGACTTTCGCAGAAAGAACTCGTTATGGAACCATTTCCTAAGAATCAATAATTATGTAATCAAGTGGAAATAAACATATTTGATACACTAACCAGATAAACATATTTCCGCTTGCCTTCATGCCTTGAGAGTCTACACACCGAGAATTGTGTCAACTGCACGCTCTGGACCTTACGAGGACACTCGCATCTCTGACCCTTCAATATTAATTAAGGGGTCATACCAGACTGGCAGACTTCTTGCAAGGGGCTGTACTCGTTCAACCTTTCCTGAACATGTGGTGCATCCGAAAACCAACTCCAGTGATGTGAAAATGTTATTTATCAATTCATTCCTTCCAGGGGCCTTCGTAGGCATTGCAGAGAGGATACTTAAAACTACACACATGATAATAGCATTAAAGCACACTGCTGTAACTTGTTAATTGGAAAAACAAACACACCTCTGAGCATATAGTTTAATAGTATGTGTTGATGCATTGTTATATAGCATGACACTTCCTATATGTATGACACAATAGACCCTTTGCAGAACCTTATCAAGCAACACAACTGTCACCATTTTTTTCGGCGTAAAGCACACGAATGGGCCCCAGTTCACGTCGAACGCTAATGCAGCATTCGAGTCCAATAGGTGCTGAGCCGAATTCACAGGGATGGCGGACGTAACATTCTTGTCGAACAAATGCCTAAAGTATGAAAGCCTGGGGTAATTACAGTAGTAGCTACTGTAATTTGTTTTATCAGAATTTGGCAGACGGCAAAGGCTACGGTCTCGGTGAGTCAATACACACATTGGAGAGAGGCACATGACAACATATCACCAGAGTGCTCGTCTGCACAGATTTATCACACACCTTCGCTCCGTCTCTCTGATTGGCTCGAGGGGGCTGCGGCGGTTGGCCTTTTCCAAGTTACGGTGATGCGAAGTATAGACAGCCCAGACTTTTAAAAAGAGTCTGTTGAAGAGACCGAAAGGAATGGTAGTCAACATTTTTCAACAAGACTGCTCTCCAGGCAAGGGATGAACACAAATATGAATCATCTTATCCAGGTAATTAGAACAGTTAAATAATTGACCGACTAATACAACGCACTCTTGATGGAAAAGAGTATAGCTGCAATAAATCCTACAAAACAGAAAAAATGCGCAGTTAATCTATGCATGCACCAAAACAGTTGTTCTTATAGCAAGTCGAATAGCTTTGAAGCAGGTGCCTGCAACGATTTATTCTTCCCCATACTCAATAAAACGCCATCCTCGTAGCTGAAAATAAGGGTGCACTTCGCACTCACACACACACAAAAAAAAAGGAAGAAAAGCGATCGAATGTAGAATCGTGGATAAGCACAAAAGGTTAAAATCGCAGGAGCTTCCTCGCTAAAAGTTGCTATGGTTGTTCGGTGACGGAGGGCTGAAACAACTTCGCTTAGGCCCTAACGCGACGTATACATTTCGCGTAGATTCTCAGATATTTCAACGTTCAAACAAAGCTAAGAGAATGCGAAAATTGCATGTTAAAAGCACTCAAAGTTCTATCGGTCCTCGGACACATCCCGGAATCCGAGCACCGGTACGGCGATGCAGAGCTGATGCTGTCTCACAGGCGTTAATATCCAGATGATCCAGAGCGATCTTGCGCAAAAACGGTATAAAGTCTCATTCCTTCATATTTTCACATTATACCTGCGTCAGCGAGCACGAAGAAGCCCGAAGTCGTCGGAAAGCAGCTGCACATCACGGCTACCGCGCACCGAACAAACTCGCATCCGCCAGCTCTGGGCGCTGCCATCTTACCTGTGACGTCACGGCTCTTGGAAGGTCACGTGACGAGTGGTCACATTTGCGTAAAATATGGCGGCAACCGGGGGGGTGCCACTTCCGAACTTCCGGTTTATCACTCTAAGCCCCTCTACCTCGTTGGTATCACGTGACATTAACGTGCTGCTCAGTTGTGCCCCAACGAACAATCCACGTACTTACCGGTGGAAAGATATTGGCGTTCCTTTAGAAGCTTACTTTTTGCATGACTCGCGGGTGTACGGCGTCGCGTCAACGCAAAACTAAACCAGAGAAGCAGCTTCGCAGCTATGGTTTTGATAAGCGCGCCCCGGGAAACGAAACCGCGTAACCGCCAGATTCCCGAGATTTCGACAGAAGGGAAGTTAATGCAGCGGAATTAGTATATTGCTTTTTATAGGCGTTAGAATAACTCAGAATTCAGTTTACAGCGTTAAAAAATCACTGTCGATTTTGCTGAGAGTTTTCAGTTTTCGCGATTACCATTGCTACTGTCGTCCTTCAGCTGACAACATTGGTTTCTTTCTCTCGTCTTCTGTCGCCGTCTTTCGCGATCTTTCACACGGGGGAGGTGTCGGCGCACAGAATCTGCTACTCCTCCACACCCACTTTTACCCCCGCCGGCAACCGGACGAGGAAGCCTGCAAAGAATGGACACGGAGCAGACTCGTACGTAATTAAAATGCTCTACTCCAAATACTGTACTCTTTTTTTAGCGCGTAATTTTATGTGTTTATTTCTGTACTTTGTGGTTCAACTTATATACTTCTCGAAGTAACTGTTACAAATTGCTTCAGAGAGGAAGAGGTAACATATCAACAAGTGAGTTCACTTTCTTCTAATCTTCCTGCTTGAAACCTTCACTAGTTTCCCCACGTCGTAACACCGGATGCATAAAAACCCTGCAGTTTGTTTATGTATTTAAATTTTGCAAACGCACCTTTCTCGAGAAACTACCACCACGTAATTATATTTCACATTTTCATCCACGAACAAATGCGTTATGTCCCGATGCGAGTGTCGCGCGATCGTAGCAAGTCGGACGCGAAGCTCGTTTTCTTATCTTATCGCCTGGGTCTCGGTAGGTCGACGTTGTCACTATCACGATATCTCCACTCGTCTTTGAAAAAAGGCCGCTTGATTTTTTCGGAGAACGAGCGGCGCCATCGTACACACATACGAATTTGTCCCGATCACGATGTCTTTACTCGTCGTCGAAAATGCACCGGTCGCTTTTTCCCGTTCACCATCTAGCACCAATGAGCATCTGTGGTAGGAAAGGAGAAGCATTAGGTTTAGAATTCAGTAGTGAAAAACCAGCAGTTATGATTTTTAACGATGATAAAGTTGAGAGGCTGAAGATACAGAATATTACAGTTGAGAGAGCTAGTAATTACAAAAGTATCTAGGAGTACGGATATGTGATGGTGCAGAATATTTCAGTGAGCATGAAAAGTATATAATAGGTAAGGGCAACAGAAATGTAGCTGTAATGAAAAATAGAGCACTTTGGAATTACAACAGGTATGAGGTGGTGAGAGAGATTTGCAAAGGGGTCATGGTGCCTGGCTTGACTTTTGGAAACGCAGTGCTATGCATGAAATTCGAATTGCATGGAAGACTAGAAATAAAACAGCGCGGAGTAGGTAGGCTGGCTTTGGGGGCACATTGCAAAACGCCAAACCAGGGAGTACAAGGTGACATTGGATGGGCGTCATTTGAGAGCAGGGAAGCGGTGAGCAAGATAGAATTTGAGGATCAGTTGAGGCAAATGGATAGGGACCAATGGGCACGAAAGATTTTCAGCTATTTATACATGAGGAGTATAGACACAAAGTGGAGACAGCGCACTAGGAAATTAAGAGGAAGGTTTTTAGGCTTTAGTGGAGATACGGAATCGAAGGTCTCAGTTAAGAAGAAAGCTAAGGCCACAGAAAGAGTCCGGTGGCTGGACGAAATGCAGACAAAGACGGCTCTGGAAAGCTATAGATTAAACAAAACAGTTATTGCCAAAGAAAGCATTTATGACAATTGTAGGGGAAGCTCATTGTTGTTTGAGGCGAGGACGGGTGTTCTGCGAACCAGAACATACAGAGGGAAGTACCATGGAAATGGATACAGTGTGCACTGTTTGTGGAGAGGAGAATGAGACGGCTGAGCACTTGATACTCTACTGTAAAGGGATTCACCCTATGCCTACAGAAGACAACATAGATTTAATAAAGTCGTTGGGTTTTAGAGACAGCGAAGGGAGATTGGATTTCAATACTGTAGAGATTACCAAGCAAAGATTAAAGGAGCAATGCAACAATTTTTGTACTTTGCGCAAATACCGCTTAAAACGGATCCCCAACGTTAATGACCTATGAAACACGCGTTCGTTTTTCACCCCACGCAATAGAAGTCCCAGAAAAAAAAATTAAAGAAAAACGAGCAGCGTTCACCCCCTCAACTCGCCGCCAGAACAAGCGGCCACGTGATCTGGAGCCGATTATATGCCGCCAGTGTTGATCACAGCCACGCGCTGGGGTTGGCAAAGAGCAGGACACGCGCTGAGTTCCAGACATTGTTATGGCTCGGCTATTGTCGTCGTTGCAGCGATTGGACGCGGGCGACTACGCGAATGTTTCTCGAGCTAGTAATTATCACGAGCCAAAATCAAGTGCCCACGCAGAACTCGGGTCCAATCTATGAACCGCATTCAAATATCGTCACTTGGGTGTTCTGCGATCCCCACGTTACGTCATCAAATTTTGCAAAGGAGAGATTGAACGAAAATAATTGCTTTTGTCCTTGAAATTTCACCGCAACAAAGGAGTTTCTTGGCCAGTGGTGTTGCGTGCGAGTATCCTTGGGTCCCACTAGTGCCAGTAAGCTCGTGTATAGTGAAAAACATTCCAACTGAATATCGTTGCACAGCTCCTTTAAGTGAATGGTGGCAGAAAGCGAGAGAAAACTAGGTATTTTCTTATTAACTGATGGCAAGGGGGTTTTATAGCCTCACTTTTTTTGCAGTGCGGAGTGAATATAGATTTCACATTTAAATATTCTAAGCTTAAATGGTAAAACGAAATGGCTAGGTGGCGTAAGCTACCGCCCGATCCAAAGGGCTCAGCCGGATTCATCCATTCGTCCATCCAAACATGAGTTGGTGCATACATCGCGAGACACATGCGTGAAAAATCCATTCGATTCGACGTCCGATCCGGCAGTACGACTGCATGGTCCAAAAAGTTTGGTCGGTTCAGACGTCGGATCGGCGATCCGGCGTGCGTCCAACGTGCCAGATAGTTTCGCACGGCGGACGGAATGTCGGAAGCGTCCAGCCAATGACAGCACAGCTAGCGCGAACTTCATGGTGACGTACTGGGTCTGGCGGGACGAACAAGAAAATGGGACGGGCGACGGGAAGCCGGACGCGTGGATCCCGCTGACCCATTCGATAGATGGCCCCGGCAAAGAATGCACGCGCTAGCGAGAACGAGCTCCTAACTTCGCTCGTGCGAGCTCAACCGTCAATCTGGGACCGGATATCTATGAACGCGGACCTCCGCTGGAGTGCTTGGATCTCCTGGGCGGAGCCGAACGGATCGTCGTGTCGCATGCAAGGTCGGAAGCGTGTGTCTCAAACTGTCACGTGCGGTGATTCGGAGCGGCGTTTGGAGTGTCGGATCGGACGTCGGATCGGACGTCGGATCGGACGATTCTGCCGTCCATGTGTCTCGCGCTTACGACACGATATCAAACAAAGGCGTCAGGAAAACGCGGTCGGTAGCGCAGAAAACGCGGTACAAAAAGCAAGAAAACAAATAAATAAAATATACGTCAAGAAAGTAAAAATAACAAAAATTTTCCTCGCTAAAAACTCTGGAGTCACAGAAAACAAAACAAAAATGCCGTCATCACGTGACGTTATAATTGTGACGCCACTTCCGGTGACGTCGTGTCACGTGATCACCCATTATTCGTCCTCCGAATCGCTGCTATGTGACGTACTCCGGTGGCGCTACCATCGCAATTTCAAAGCGCCCCCTGGTTGGGCGCATCGATCCTATCCATCCATCCATCCATGTTCGCGCTCCTTCAAACTTTCACAAGGGACAAGATGTGGACGCACGGGTTTCACCCACCTACGCCGGAAACCGTACGACTCCGAAACCGCTCGGAAAGCCTGATGAGACCGGACACGGAACTGACTCGTACGTAATTCAAATGCCCTACTCCAAATATTGAAGTATTTTTTCTAGCTCGTAATCTTTATGTGTTTACTTCTGCATCGCTTCAGAGAGGAAGAGGTAACATATCAACAAGTTCACTCTCTTCTAATCTTTCTGCTTGAAACCTTTACCACTTTCCGCACGCCGAAACACCGGACGCATTGAAACCCTGCAGTTTTATTCAGCACGAGCCTATTTTGCCGGTAAAATAGAGAGGGCGGGAAAATGCCGGCAGTTTCCTCCCGTTGGCTGGCTGCAACCACGTGACTGTACCACCGGCATATTGTTTGGGAGGATAGCGTGCCGGCAGCCGGCTAATCCCCAAAAGGGAATTAGAGCAAGCCGTGTTCCGTGCACCCAGCGCGCACTTAGGCGATACCGTGACCGCGGGGCCCGCGCTTAAAACCATGCTTCAAAGGCTCTGGTAGGATGATTGAGGATAAACTGAGTAGGCAGGCCTAAAGTCCCTAGATGAGTGCTTCTTACAAGTAGCGACATTCTTTGAAGCGCCGACTGCGTGACGTTGCAGGTTTTAGGAAGTGAATGGCGGTGCACAGCAGAGGTCTGACCTGAATGCCGCCATTCTGTTCCAGCGGAATATGCTTTGTCATTTGTATTGGTTGTCGTTACTTGTAAATGAAGTATCAAGGGACTTTAGGCAGGCCAGCTGGTTGATGTTAAACATTTTTGAAAAACCGGATACGACGGACGAAGAAGGGGACAAACAAACAAAACGTCTCCAAACGCAGGCACTAAACTTTTATTTGCACAGTCGTCTATATAGCGTCTCTTCCACACGTCTCACGGAACTGCACACGTCACTGGGACCTTTAGCCAGGGTGGGTCTAGGAAAACTCGTCACAAGACAACTCGTCGCAGCCAATTCGCCATAGGTAAACTCGTCAAATAGGGCAAGTCGTCATAGGGCATCTCATACACGGGGAAGTCGTAGCAGAGGGCAACTGGGAACTTGTCCATTTCGTCACAATTTACCTTTTTCGCCGATCTTGCGCATTTGACCGCAGCGCAGCAATTCGGCTTCGATAACTGACGAAAAATAGTAATTTACAACTAAACAATAAAAGCAAGACATGGTCTTGTACAGGTTTTTCTCAAACGGAGCTTCTGCTGCCATCTCTAAGAGTTTGTGCGTATGACGCGTGCTTTGTTCGCTTTCCGAAGCAAAACAAACACGCACGTACTGGGCTGTAAATATCGCACGCTGGGCCGTACCTGATAATGGTATATTGTCGGGGACAAGTACAGAACGCGCACGTTAGCTTCCGCCGTGCTTTGGTTGGGCGTGCGCGCTCGTGCTATCAAGGGAAGCAAACTCATTAGCACATAGCCGATTATAACAACCACTCTGAAACATGAAAATATCGGGTCTAGGAGAACTGATCACAAGTGAACTCATCATGAGTAAACACATCAAGTAGGGCAAGTCGTCATGGTGCATCTGAGGGTGATGGCTTTGGCCTTTGCAATGCTTTCTATCTCTACAGACCCAGTACACAGCGTCGGGGTCTTTTCGGCTAAGCGTGTAAGAGTACCCTTCGCAGAGCATGGGAGCGTCACGCTGGGTTTTAATTTGGTTCATCGTACGAAATACGGTCGTGCTCTCTGAAGGTCCGCACATTTCGCCCCTATATATATACGTATTCGAAGCCACTTCGAACGAAAAAACCCTTTGGAGTAGATATAAAAAAAAGAGAAGACGCCCCCAAAGACGAAACCTAACCGCTACACTTCCTAGCATCCTGGTGCGGAGGTCTGCATACCGCACCCCTGTTTTGTCATTGAACAATAAGTTCCGACCTAGCAAAGCTTCCGAAAAGGGTTTAACAACAAAGGGACGTCGTAAGTAAAGATAACACCGAAAAGCCGACCACAACCGCCCCCTGGAACAAGCAAAATGAGAAGCCAAGTTTGAAACTGCGACAAGATTGATGCAACCACTTTCCAAAATAAACCTCCCCCTCTCCCCCGCCCCTTCCCCTCCCCCTATAAAAAAAAAATCTGTGACGAACTTTTCAAGAACGAGAAGGTCACTGCGACCACTTTCCCTACTACAAGTTCACCTAGAACGAGATGCCCTCTTTGACCAGCTCACCTATGACCAGTTTCCCTGTGACGAGTGGGCCTGTCTTGACCTCATTTCAAACCACGCACTTAGTTCGTACACAGCATTGCAAACAAAGCCCCATTGTTGCAACACCCAAAGTCGGACCCAACGCACCACACCTTCACACAAACACCAACGCCTAACTGGCATCCGGTAGAAAGGCCTCACACTGAAACTGATAAAGCGAAGAAAAAAAAAATTATACAGCATCAAAAACTTTCGGGTCGCTTCGTCATAGACCGATGCCACCAAGTGAACTGCGCAGGCGCGCGCATTCCGGCAGTGGTGCCGCCGCCGCCGTGCTACTTGTGGTCATCCCTTTCCGGCTTCACGGCTACATGGGCTGCGCGTCCATAATCATAAATTATCGTTTGGGACGCCGCGGTATCAGCTTGCTTGTCCTGCATGACTGTACTTCATGAGACTGTGTTGTCTGTGATATGTCTTAGTTGTCAGCAAGCGCAGAAAAGCAGTTCCATTCGCCTTATCGCTTTGTTGTCTGCTTCGTCGCCGTCTGCTTTTTCGTCTTCGTGAACGCGTGAGCCCACTGCCGTTCACGCGGTGGTCATACTGCGGCTGCGGGAAAACAAACAAACAACGACGCCACTACTCGAGCACTCCGGCTGCTCGGACGTCTCAATTAACTGGGAAACAAGTGAACATTTAGTTCAGTGGCGAAGAATTCGAGGGACCATCGGCTCGGTGTAGCACCGCAGAACAGCATCAAATCTGTTGGTGAAAAACTGAGCTTTGGTAGTGCTCAGTCGTGTGCATAACGTTTAATCAACAATGAAGTAAGAGGAGCTAAACCGACCCTTTCGGTGAGCGATAGTTTTCTAAAAGTTGTTTCATTCTGGTTGACAGCCTGTGCGACAGGGTACAGATGAACTGCGGGAGAAGCCCGCACACAAGGAAGAAACGATCTACAGAAAGGCCATGCCTGACGCGCCGTAACAATTGGGATCTGTCAAACGGAAGGAACCATGCCAAATACCCAAAAGCTCGGGGTGGAGATGACTTTTCGTGTACAGTTTATTTAGTTTTATTGTGTTTGCGCAAGCTACGAACGCCAACAATCGCCTGACGGAGAAAGCGTTTTTTTTGGGTACGTCAGCCTAATGGGCCACCACAAAATGGATGAGGTTCGTTTGTTACATTTTTGGCGGTAAGTGTTGCACTTCTGAATTGCGTTATGTGGTGTTTTCACGTTTGTATGAAAAAAAAAAAAAAGACTGCTTGCGAAAAAAGTTGTTTTATTTCAAGTGATGCATATCGGGAATCGCTGTTCTTTTCTTGGTGATTGTACAGATCTTTTAAAGCACAGTTGTACTTGAAACATGTCGTCGCAATAACAGTTATAACCACCAAAATACATCGAGCAAAAAGTGTATCAAAAACGGTCTGAGCAAGGCAGTGCGGAGGTCCTATTTCAGATAGACCGCTACGAAGCGAATCCTCAGAGAGATTCCAACCTGCGGAACAGTACTGCACGCTCTGTCTCGCGCCCTGTAATCTTACACATTTTAGCTGACCTGCAATAGGATGGATATAAATTATGAAGCATATCGTGAAACAAATCGTAAAAACGTCAAAGCAACCGCCAGCAAATTGTGCGAAAATTTATGGAAAAAAAAAAAGGAATGCATTCTTTTTTTTCATAAATTTCGCACAACTTGTTGGCGGTTGCTGGTAGACTCAGGGGAAAGGTGGTCTTCACTTTCGACATTAAGTTGAACAGGCTTCTGCCGTTCGCGGGAGGGCGCAGGGTTGTCAGAAACGGCACAGAGAAACCGCCGTTGATTTCCAGGTTGGTGTAGTATACGATATTCTAATGGCCTGCGGTTTCACATACGTGGGGCAGACAAAAAGGTGCTTGAATGAGAGACTGCTTGAACACACGAGGACAGTTAAGAACGGGTCTCCAAACTCTGAGATTGCTAGACATGTACAGGAGTGCAATAATTGTCTGCCGGATTGGGGCTGTACTGTTGTTTCAAAGAAAAAGATTGTGCAAAAAGTGTTTCTGTCAGCCGTCAATCGCATTAGACGAAACGACCCGAAAAGTTTTGCTGCTGCAATTTTTTTTTTCTTAATGTGTGTGTCGCTTTATTAGTTTTAGTAATGGGGCCCTTGTACGAGATGCGCGTTGGACCTTGGAGTTTGTGTGAAAGTGTTGTGCGCCGGGTCCGACCTTGGGGGTTGCGAAAATGGGGCTTCGTTTGCAATACTGTGTACGAAGTCAGTTCGGAGGTTTGAATTACTATCACACTAGACGAAGCGACCCGAAAGATTTTGATGCTGTATAATTTTTTTTGTTCGCTTTATTGGTTTCACTGTGGGGCCTCTGTACCAGATGCCAGTTAGGCCTTGATGTTTGTGTTGGTGTGGTGCGTTGGGTCCGACTTTGGGGGTTGTCACAATGGGACTTTGTTTGCAATGCTGTGTACGAACTAAGTGCGGAAGTTTAAAATGGGGTCAAGACGTGGTGTACCCTGGCTAAAAGTCCCAGTGACGTGTGCAGTTCCGCTGTGCAAATAGAGTTCTGTCGCTGCGTTTGAGACGTTTTGTTTGTTGTCCCTTTTTCCGTCCGTCGTCTCCGGTTTTTCAAAAATGTGTTCTGGTAGTGCGGTACGCGAAACACGGTAACTGTTCGCTGAAATCCCCTGGAGATATACGCGCGACGAACTGTCCCTAGAGCGTGCGATTGTGAGCACTTTCCACCAAACTAGCCTGCAGGTTCGATTTTGCCAGGGAGCGCGGTCGCGGTTTGACGTTTGACTGGCTTGGGTACGCGGTCGTACGTTGGTAGTGTGTGCTAATTTCATATCATTGAAGAAGCTTCGCTGAACAGAAAAGAGAAAACAGTTTATCTCGGGGGCGGGCCGTTTTAATTCCTTTGTTGCCGCCGAGTACCCTGTGTAAAGGCGGAACCGCATGTAGGCAATTTAGCGAGCGACGTGTTGAGCGACGGCGATAAGACAAGCGACGACGACCCGCTTCGCTATCGCTCGGGCACTCGCGCGACGAGGCGAACCACATGAAAGCGACGGGAGCAAGCGACCAAGGCGATGAGCGGCGATTACTAGATAACTAAAAACCGAACGACGCGTCCAGCGACCGTGAGAAATCTCCGTCGCTGTCGCCGTCGCTCAGTAAATCGCCATGCGGTTCACCCCTCACTGTCGCACGTCGCGTAGCTCGGTTTTTGGATTTCTAGAAAACTTAGCACTCATCGCCTTGGTCGTTTGCTTTCGTCGCTTTCATGCGGTTTTCATCGTTGCGCGAGTGACCGTGCGACAGCGAACTGGGTCGCCGTCACTTGTCTCGTCCCTCAACAAATCGCTTGCATGCGGTTTTTAAATCTTTCGGGCTAATGAAAAATGCACCGCATTTTCCATTAGCCGCACGCTGGGTGAGCCGCACGGTATGTTTCTGCACAGGAACGAACACGAAGGCACGACGTACGACACGGAGGTGATGGAGCAACGTGGTTACAGGGCCGTAGTGCAGAAAATCCGCTAAAGAAATCTATAAACCGTGCTACAAAAGCCCCAAAGTAGAAAAATCGTAGTTCTTGCAAAAGAGCTACCGCCGTGGGCACGGCGCGCGACACGGAGCGCTGCATGGAGCCGATGGAGCAAGGCGGCCGCAGTGGAAAAGTCTGATAGCGACAAAAACGAACTAAAACACACACAAAAAATATTCCTACGGCACTTCAGAAGCACCAAAGTCTAAGAATAACCTCTAGTTTCGGCCAAAAAGACCCTTTAAAATTTTTAAAATGCTGCTAACCCGCGCTGAAAGGTCCGCCAGACGACACCTGCGTGAGATAGGAGACCCCGAAGGTAGCGACCGTGGTGGCCGGTGCCGGCGCACCCAGCGAAGCAGCACCACCTCGCATTCCAGGACTACAATAAAATGAAATGCTCACAAAAATGGGCCGATTCAACATTCTCTCCCACTCTGTAGAGGTATTGTTCAGCTGCAAATGGGAACACAAGCCGTTATCAGTTTTTTGTGTGTGTTTTTTCTTTCTGCTCCATCTTTTCTGGTGCCTACTTTCCGTAGAACTAACCTGATATTTCCAGTGGCGGTGCAGCTGCCAGCTTACAGGTGGTACCATGGTAATAGTGCCACATGAGGCAAGAGGTGTCATACCGTTCTAAGCCAGAGGGACAAGCAACTTGCAGGCGATCACCACACCTCCCCTTCCTTGTCCACCATAATAAACCTAAACTGCAAAAGCGCATTCGCCGAGTTTGCTGAGTTGATGGTTAGGCAAATTCGAGATACACTGCTGCTCCCAAGAAATGAAGCCGACGACGATGCGACTACACTCCCCAGTGCCCCTCGTGCTATCTGCTCACGAGCGTGATTGTGATGAAAGCAGGTGACACCCTTGTATTGTTTTTAATAAACTTAAATATAATCTCTTTTGCACATTTTCCAGGGAGCTAGGATGACTAACACCAATAAATACTAACACTAAAACATTAAATGTTTTAATCGGACGCGCTACCTGAAGCATTCATTCATCAATAAACCGTGCGAACATTTTCGTCTTGCAGAGTTAGAAAAATGTTGACAATGATGATGATAGAGAGATCAGCGCCACCCTCAACGATTTCCTGAACGCTGGGAATCGGCAGTTTTCTGGCCTCCCACGACGCGGTGCAATGAAGCATCAAGACAGTTTTTTTTAGATTATCTTAAGTTTTATCCAAACGAGAAATCTGGATGCCAATCACTAAGGAAATCAAATATAGAGCAATATACCGCAATTTCCCGAGAGATGCCTCACCCCTGTGTTTAACCTGATTTTTTTTTAAAGACATCGCAAGACATTTTTATTAATTCCAGTTCCATGACCAATCGTGACTTCGGCAGAAATGGTGTTACTTAGCCACGGCGGGAGAAACGCGAACATTGCTGACTTGAAAGGACAGTCGTTTTTGGTTCACAGTTGTTTTTGGTCACAGTCGTTTTTTATTTTGATTTACGAAACTTGTGGTTGCAGGGAGGGGCTCCCTGCGATCACAAGTTTCGTAACTCACAAAACTATAACTAGAATTATTTTTTTTAAACTTCAACACACGCCGAATGTCAGCACACTCCTTATTTCCACCCGATTTGTCTCCGATTTTAGGTCGGCTATCTCTCGGGATATTGCGGTATGTCTATTTATTACAACCAGCTTCATTAGAAGTCATCAATTCAATAATACGTTCATAAAGCAGATGCGTCAAAGACTGTAAAGTTTGTCAGGCTGCTACAACATTACTTTAAAAATTAACAAAAGCCCTCGTTCACGTATTCGCACATCTTACGGGTTTTACACCTCGTCACTTCGTTCAATTGCCCGTTAAGCAAGTGAGAACTCCCATCATCTACAACATAAAATATTGCTACGTTTTCAAGAAAACATCTTGTCATCAACATTAAACTGGCGTTTGAAAATTTTCGTGAATATAAAAAAAGTGCAAAGAACTAAAAGTGTAGTTAAGCCGATTAGGCATAACCGAGAAAATATTCGTGCTGGAAATGTGTGATTTTGGGAAAACATTTGGAGAACTGTATAAAAAGAAGTAAAACAATTTTTTTTTAAAAGCTCTCATTCACTTCTGGTCATAACTTCTTAACAAGACATCATCATAGAACTCGTGTTATCTATAATAGTCTTTTCACGAAATGGGAACTAGCGGAGCAAGTGAGAGTTTGTGCCTCCCTATTCGCAACGCTATAATCAACCGCAAACATCACAAAACAAGCTAGAGCAGAGGAAAGAGAATGGTATTACCTTTCAAATAAAACAATTCAAGAAAGAATTCAGAATGAGGCTAATATAGCAAGCGATCAAAGAGCACCTAAATTGTGGAATGCAAATTTTCTCAAGGGACTTTACCATGCAGTTCCCGAAATATTTCCGAAGGACTGCGACCCTCCACCCGACGACGAGCTGACCTGCCCCATCTGCCATGCTTTGCTGCGAGAACCCGTGGAGTGTCGCTGCCGTCATGTCTTCTGCAAGGGCTGCATCACGATGTGGCTGCGCACGAAGAGCACCTGTCCCCTGTGCCGAGTGTCTCTGCAGGGTGCCTCCCTCGTGCCCGCCCATATGCTTATCCAGAGCATGGTAGGAAATGTCAAGGTGTGTGCCGAGTTTTTAACTTGTTTCTATACTGAATTTAATAGAGTAACTGTGGCATACACAAATAGTGTTTATATTAAGCATGTTGCATACTTAAATCAATTTGATAAATTTGTTTTGTAAACAATGCGTCAGTTTCATGGAAGGCCGAGGAAGGCCGCCATGTTTGAAGGGTCGGTGTCGTAGTCTGCATCGCCTCTCCATGAATCGTTCACATATCTGCCAGTGCCCCTAGCGGCACGGTGGCGCAACTCCGGCCCTCTCTTGCATGCACTCACGACTTGGCTCCCACCGCATTCAGTCTGCTTCAGCCTTCAGTTTCCTAATATCCCACCCGCGTCGCGTTTCGAGCCGACGGAGCCTTCGACATCGCCGGCGCCATTAATGGAATCCTTTGTTTTGACCGACTATCGGCGACGAGATGTTTTGGTGGCGCCACCTCACGGCCACCCTCTTGTGATGCAGCTGGTAGAATGCGAGCAGGCCATGCGCAATGTCGAAGCACGGAGTGGCCATGTTAGTGCACGTCTATGCAGATTAAAAACTGTTTGCTTATTTAAAAAAAAAAAAAAAAAAAAAAACAAGCCTGGGGCTTTACATTACAGCTTGTGCGGCGTGCATCGGGGCGATTCACAGCCTCTGATTCTTGTTTTTTCGGGATTTGTGGAGGCTACTATACAAAAGGGTTTTGCATTCCAGAGTACATGACGTGCTGTCTTCTTAGCTGTGCACGTGCCCACAGTTCTGGTGCAAAGTGCCACACACTTGTTTTCGCTAGTTGAGCTTGCCGATACTGACGCTTCTATCCAAGTGTGACTCGACAGTTGCTGCCGAGCAAATGCTCGCCAGTCGCTGATGCTTAGCTCCTCCCGAACCGAATACGTGGCATAGAAGCTTGTCACGTCGCGACTTCCGCTCGAAAGAAAAACAGAAAATTTTCATAAATCATTAAATTGTCGGCCGTGGCCCGGCAAATTCAGGCGATTGATTAATTTGTTCTATCCTATTTTTACTAAAAATTATTTGTCAAATTTAAAATCACTCACTGAGCAGCGGATCACGCATTATTCGCATCTGTGTCCGCAAAAATGAAACATAAAAACGGTGGTAATTCATAGCAGGTGTATTCCTCATTTTCTGAGACGCTAAAGTGTCACCAACTTATTAGATTCAAGACTTCGATCGCGAGGGAGTCTCGCACGTCCCGCGTTGACCGGGTGGATAAGCAGGAATTAAGTTGAAACGACTCCGCAAGCCAGCCATCGTTTCTTCCCGCCAGTTATTTTGAGGAAATGTTCGTCTCCTGGTTTACAAAATTAAAAAAAAGGGAATCAACTTGGAACTAATGAAAGACCAGCACTCACAGAACACTTTGGGAGCAACAGGATACACGGAGTCGCTTTCACTGAAGTGCTCACTACACCCGCGAGAGGTTCTCGAATTTCGCTATCCTATTTGCAACTTGATGAGGCATTCCTTTCTTAGTTTTGTTTTGCCCCAATCATAATAAAAAAATTACACGCTTTTCACCGTGGTAGATGCAGTGGGATAAAGCGCTGAATGTTCTATTTTCATCATCTCTGAACGGGTAGAGAACAGCACACCACCATAGGAAGCGAGCAAGCCGGCCGTGTCGCGGCGGTCGCCTATTGTTCGCCGCGACCTGGCGGTAGCCGCCGCAGGAGCATCGGGCAGCAATGGCGACGAACAGCACGGCGGACAGTGTCCCCGTCGTGATTACGACGGAATTTAAGGCAGTTACGAGTTCGGAAAGTTCTTTCGGAAGCCGGTGCCGCCGGCTCAGAATCACCGCGAAGTAATAGCAACGAACAGCACAGAGGACAGTGGGCGACTAAGAATCCGGAAAGCTTCTTCGGTAGCCGGTGCAGAATCATCGGGGGGAAGCAGTGCACAGCGGACAGTGTTCCCGGGGTGATTACGACGGGGTTTAAGGCGGTTACGAACCCAGAAAGCTTTTTCCGTGGTGCCAATATGAAGAAGAAAAAACTTTCATGAATCTGGCCGCGTGTGCGACGTGAAGGAGGTCCGTTTCGACGGACAAGTGGGTGTTACGGAGCGCCGTACTCTGCAAACAAAATTAAGCGCGCCCGCAAAAATTTTTTGTTGGCGTTGAGTGGACTGCGGTAATTATGTACGTTTATTTCTGAATCAGCTTGACAATAACTGGGCGATTTTGTTTCGCGCCGTTCTGCGATTCTCTTTACTATCTTCCTGTAGGCTGATGGAAACATCCAACGGTAGGCTTAGGAGGACGACCGCATTCCGCTTCTCGATTCCGGTGAAGTATTTGCTGCATACTTTAGAGATTGCCGTAGGTGTCGATGCTGTTCCATCGTCGCTAGAAGAGAAAAAAAAGTTAATTGTATTATTCGTCAGCAGCTTAAACAAAGCGCGAACTGGAAGGTAAGAAACACCACAAACCTGTATGGACGCAGAAGTCGTACCCAGGTCGCGCAGTACTCCGCCTCGTACGGCTTCGAAGGGACGATGTAGGACTTCGTGCCGTGCGCGATCTTGCCGACCACGCAGCATTGTTGCGGCTTTCATGGTGCGGAATAGCCATCACAGAAATCACAGCGCTAACTCACTACACCGCACAACCAACGCAGCGACTGGCAGAAGATGCCCGATGCAACGGACCCGTTTGCCGCTAGGGACGCCCTGGTCGGGGCTTGAATTAGATCCGCACGGTTCCTATTCGAGCGCTTCGGCACCTCAGCGCTAAAAGTGTTTGTTGGCAAGACTGCGCGCGTGCCACGTGCGATTTTGAGCTTTGGTAAAATGTCTTTCTGCAAATATCACTTCACCAAATAAACACAACGCGTGAAATGCTTTGCCGCACGTTACCCAAACGTCGCATAAACGAGCTGACGAGCCGACGGATCCTATATAGATTTGCGGGGTCTGTCACAGTTTGTCCTACCCGTGGCGTAAGGCACGATGATGATGATAGCTAGAGAAGTGCCCCCTGTAGCTCGCACACACCGCCAATAGGAGCAAGAAGCAGGCTAGAAGGCGTGAAGATGAGCGCAGCGGCGTAGTGCGTAGCGTGCGAGAATGGCGAGCATTTATGAGCCTATAGAATATGAGCGTTCAACAGTGTTATTACGTTCACGTGGTTTAAGAATGTGACGTGGTTTCTCTGGGAAGGTATGGGGCAGGTGATGGATGGATGGATGGATGGCAATGGCTATACCCTTTGTAACGGGCGGCATCTTGCGCCCCCTAGCCTAACATATCGTCCTCCCTTGATTGTTAAAATTAGTATAAATTTTGATCTAACACAACCCTACCTCCTTTAAAGTGTTCCGACTGTTTATTTTTATCTGTATTTTCACCCCTTCCTTCATATTTTCCACCGTTCTTCCAATTTCCTGTTAGTTACCGCGCAATTCATTCCATAACCATTCGTCCAGCCGTGTTTGAAAATCCCCCAGTGCCCCCTCCAAATCCGTAGTCATCTCCCCCCCCCCCCCCCCCCCCTGAAGAAGGTGGGACAAAGCGCCGTCACATTAAAATAACATGTTCTATAGTTTCCCTTTCGCGGTTGCATACGTCGCGCATAGAGTGTTTATTTCCTGGAATTTAGCCATATATGTTTTCGTTCTTAGCAACCCCGTTCTAGCTTCAAGCAGCAATGACCTCCCAAAAAAATTATCATCAACTGTTCCTTCTTTATTTCTTGCTTTTGTACCCTGTATATTGTTAAAGCTGATTTCCCCTTCTTTCTCTCTTCCCACAATTTCCTCTCAATTTCCTTTACTCCATTTTCTACTGATGTCTTCTGATCCGCACCGTCACGTTGAATGTATTTAAATCCCAACTTGCGGCTTTGGTTTGTCCACTTAGTGTTTAAAGTTTTCATATATAGATACTTGTACACTTTCCCAGCCCACCGCATATTCTCATTTCAGCTAGTCTTTGTTCAAAGTTTACTTTACTGATCGATTCACTACTCTCGAAAGATGCCCAACCCATATCCCCCTGTACTCCCTCATTTGGTGTATTCCCATATGCCCCCAATGCCAACCTACCCACACTCCTTTGCTGTATCTCATTCCAAAATGAGTCCTAGCACTATGACTCTCTTCCATACACCCCTAATGACTTCATATCTATTATAGTTCCAGAGTGCCCCCTGTTTTATTGTAGGTGAATCTTGTTTCCTCTTCTTTATTACAATATCTTCATGTTCTTTTTAGATACTTTCTTTTCACACTTAACCATACTCCCAGATATTTGTACTTCTCTACGTGTTCTATCACTGTGTCCTGTATCCCCAGGGTTCCCCTTCTCGTAGTTGAAAACTATTATACCCGACTTGTCCCTACTGAAGTTTAGACCTAAACTGTCCCCTTCCCTGCTGCAAATCCTAATTAGTTCCTGTATTTTGTCACAACTTTCTGATACAAATAGAATGTTGTCTGCATACATTAGCCCTGGAAACGCCTCAATTACTTTATGTCCTTCCTGCATGTAAGTCAGGTTAAAACCTAGGTTGCACTGCTCTTATCTTTTTTCCATCTCCCTGAGGTGTATCATCAGAATTCCATCAGGGTTGCCTGGATAGTCCCATTTGTTTACCGAAGAGGCGACTACGTCTACGAAATGAAACGAACAGCCTGATTATGCTTCGGCGAAGAAAGAAGTGCTTATACTCGTTTTCATCACAAGAACTGCAGTACAAAAAAAAAAAAAAAAACATTGATATTTTTTTAATATTTGATTTAAGTTCCACTTTTTTATTATTTGATTTAAATAAAATAATACGAAGTTACAAGTCTGTCCTTTGTTAATTTTCATGGTTATAAAAATGCACCTGCTATAAATGTTACAAAAAAGTTATATTTTTTGGCACATTTTTTGGAAGATGGAAGAGAACCGGCAGGATGACAATCACCGTATTCATACTCCAAGAGTTGTTTGTACAAAGTTAAGCAAACGGCTGATAAGTTATAAGTAGGGCTCCGTGTTTTCGGAGTTCATTTTTCGTGAAATTCGGAGGGTGTTTTCGGAGTTTATTTTTTAGCAAAAATTCAGTGTTTATCGGAGTTTATTTTTTATTACTCCCTAATTCTCCGAAATTTGGAGATTAATTTCGCAGTGTTTCCTATTAAAAATAATAAATAATAACCGGATGCAAACGTATGCCAGATAAAAAATAAAACGCGCTTGTATCAATTAAGATTTCATCAGTTTAATTTGGCGTTGGTGCCATCGGCAATACTAATTTGTCCCACGACAAAGGTCGCACACAAGTGTGGCTTCGATAAACGTCGATACCTTAAAATCAATAAACTGCCGGAGGTAGCCGCAAGGAAGCTCGTAGTCATCCCATCAATCTATCCCGCTGCCGCGCGAGGTGGAGTGGTTAAGGACGTAATAGAGAAGTTTCAACTGCCCCTCTTTCGTATTTTATACAATCTGTATGGTCCATAGCTTTCACTGTTACCCACAGAAACATACCCTCTCCTTTCTCTAAATCCCAAATCCCATGGTCCAAACTGGAAACCAAAAGAGAGTGGCTTTTGTCGTGACACGAATGGTACGATGGTCTATTTCCCTGAACCAACCTTGACGAGACAAGCCGTAAGACCCCCTTTTGACAACGGTCTGTGGCTTGAAACATAATTAAGGTGTCATTTTCCCAGGACTACTGAGCCTGCGCTGCCGAAAATGTAAAAAAAAAAAATTCTTTCTTTGTTGTTGGGGCGACAGGGGTGGCATGGGCACATAACAATTCGGAGTTTATCGGATAAATCCGAATTACCAGAAATTTTACCGGCGGGTGTTTTTCGGATTTTTTCGGATTTACCTGAAAACACGGAGCCTTATTTATAAGGTAGGTACCATCCAGATGTTTTTTTTTCTCCCGTCATTCACGCTTTATTTTATGTTCAAACATGAATGCGCGGATTGCACGTCAGATGCGGATACAATAATTTCAGAATATTGGGGATGCGGTTCGGGTGCGCATACAAAGTCTGCGGATGCGGATGATCAAACTTTTTTCCTTGCAGGGTTCTAGTCAAGTCATCTGGCATCCCATCGCCGACTTCTTTTTCGTGATCTCTTTAAAGCCTCGTTGTTCTTCCGGCCTCAGGTGAAGTGCCGCAGTCCTGGGTGCAGTGCCAGAGTGGCCGTGAGCACTTACACGACGCACCTGGGCGTGTGCGAGTTCAAAGAGGTGCCGTGCCCTCACAGCCTGTGCGAGCACCGCTGTCCTCGCCGCACCCTCGAGGACCACGTAAAGACGTGCCCGCACCGGATGCTGACCTGCCAACTGGGCTGCCGCGCGACAATGTCCGCGGGCGAGCTGGAAAATCACAGCTGTATGCTCAAGCTCCGACTTCAAGGCAAGCAACTCTGTTCACACAGCAGGGACTCAAAGCGTAGAACAAACCAAAAACTGCTGAGGAGCGCTTTTTTTTTTCTCATAACCGGAATTGGAACGGAAATTATAATGGGAGTTTTAGCAGACTGTTCCAATACCTTTGGTAACAGTACCCGATAACGACACACTAGAGAGTTATTATTAGATCGTTTCAGTCACTCCGATAACGATATCTGAACTTGGCCGACGCCTTTGCGCTTGTATCGTACAATTATGGGACATTGTCACCGAAGCCGGAGGTATCAAAACGATCTACTAAGACTCCCTATTTCTTTTGACATGAACCGTAACCGGAGCCCGAACCATTAAAATTAACTGAAGGGTACTTTTTGTAGATCGTTTTTCTCCCTCCACTACGCTCTGTGCAACGGAGACGACGCTACAGCGCATGCTGCTCTGCAAAGTTTCGGATCTAGTAGCTGGTTGCGGAGCGTTGAGTGGCAGCGAAAACGATAAACGAAAACTTCCTATGAAATGGGTTTGCCACAGTTTTTACGAACGACAGATTGAAGCCTCCAGGCAGGATCTAGATGCGTATACATACTTAGTTCACTCTTAAAGGGATTGTCTAGAGATAACCAGAAGCTCCTGAGGTTTTGCGCTGGTGACGTAGAGATGGCCCAAATATAGTCAGATGTGATATTTGTTTGATTATTACTCCCCAATTTTTGTTAAATTAAAATATTGACAAGAATACAAAACTTCATGCCAAGTTTCGTTAGTATGCATGGCTGGTCGTATCGTGACGTCACATCAGGGATGGTGACGTCAGAGGCGTGGGCGTTGACTGGTTCCCTGTTTTGATCAACATGGTCGATGGTTCGTACAAAGATCATCGTCGAAGAATTGAGTGTGAGCGTCGAGAATTGAGCGTCACTTCGCGACGAACAGCCAAATCAAGCGTGGCTGAATCAACCGGGTAGGCAGGCTGAGCGATCGGTTTTCGGGGATTTCATGACAAGTCTGGGGCATAAATGACAATAAGCGTTTTTTTATTTGATTTAACCTAGCACAAGTACTATCGGTGTTGATTGCGCCACCGTTTACCAACCAAGTGGGAATGAACAACAAAAAATGAACAGCCATTGAAATGTCGCCCCTGCACACAGTAGCCTCAGTGATACCTCAGTTTTGTTTAGATTGCATCATGGAGGTCTTCCTAGCTGATTAACACTATGGAGGGTGATAATCGGCTATTCAGTCTTGGTGGACGTGGAATTGACACAATAAACCCTATTTTTCTGGGTCACTAAGATGCAAGTATAAAAGAGATACATGAAATGGGCTTAGTTTTCTTTAGAGTATGAACTTGTAATAAACTCGAGAATTTAGGCCTCCTTCGTTCTTTCCAACTGCCAGCATTTTTTATATGATGTGTGAGCGATTCGGGTACATGCAAACCTACTTGCAGCTCTGTATATAGACCTTTTCATCCTCCTCCGCATGGGCGCTGCCATCTTGGAATCACGTGACGTGGCAGCCATTAGGTTGCTTCAACTTGCTGCTCCGCTCTCCCCTCCGCGCCTTGGCGGATACGGTGTATTCGTGTTTTTCGTCGCGTTTCACCGCGCTTGCTTGCCTTACTTCGGAAACTGTAGTCCGATACGTCTACTCGACGACTCCTGAGGTTTGTTTACTAATAGTGGCGAAACATTCTCAGTAAGAAGCGCTTATATTTATATCGCGCATTTAGGATTGCAAGGCGTCAAGAATAGTCAGCACAAGGAGACTATCTGTATTTCGTGAAAGTATCGTTCTTTGTATTCATAATATATCGAAAACAGTTTCTTTTCATTATGTGAGGAAACTCTCGGAGGAGATAGACAACGAACGTTTAACTTGTATTTTATCTGAGGCTAAAAGTAAAGGTACGTTAACATCAAGCGATTTTTTTGTTCAAAATATCACACTTACATGTGTATGAGGTTCTCAATCTCCTTTTTGCGACGTAGACATTCGGATGGTCGGTTTACTTATGAAGTTTAAGAAATTGTATACTATGCTTAATTTACTTAACAGAAAGGTTGGGACCTCCCGCGTAAGAAACTGTCACATACACTTAACAGTAGCGAGTTGTCCTTGTCCTTGCGCTGTTTGTTTTCCGCTAATATGAATGACCAGCTAGCCCAATCGTCAACACTAAAGAAATAACGTCGTTTCTATTTACAAATTCAAAACGCGGTTTGGGTTCGGCGCATGCGCAATAATGACGACGCTTTCTTTGTTTTTGCTTACGTTGTTTTATCTTTTGCCAGCATCTAAAATCCGCAATAATTGAAGCCCCCCCCCCCAAAAAAAAAAAAAAAAAAAAAAAAAACAACAACAACAACAACAACAACAACAAAAAAAGAGCCGTCTTAATAACAGTATTTGAGTCCAGGATTGTCGATGGCAAATAGAGGTTTACTTGAAGGGCCTGTCACTTCCATCATATCCTGAGTAAGCAAATGTTCATATAAAAAAAATGTATTCCCTAGGGCGAATATCGCGAAATGCTGCTGATAAGTACTTTAGCAGTATTGATAATTTAAGAAATTTCCTAATCAGCCTGTCAAAACATGCTTGAGTACTAAATTTAAAAAAAAGAGACCGAGACGATATTATTTGTTTATATCAATTATCTGCGTCATTACACGATACGTTTTTATTCTGCGAAGTTCACTAAATGCTGGGTGCCCACGAAAACCAAACAGTGAGTTGTAAACTCGCGAGTTCATCTGTTCTGGCCGATTCAGAATATTGCTAATCAAGCTGTCGATATGCTTCCCCCCTCTACATTCACATGTTAATTTCTTTATTAGTTTGTTTTTCTGGAAACTGGTGTCATCGGGTACGGTTATACACGATGGTAATTTTCCCTGCACATCAGTCAGGCGTTTCGCAACCGACCATAATCAGATACATCAATGGAGTTGGTAAAAAGAGCTCACAATTTAAGCTAAAATACACCTCGTAGTCATCAAAGTGGCTCAATACTACTGTTTCATTGGTTGTGTGCTACCAGGAAAATAATCGTATCGCAAAACTAAGCAAAAACAGCGTAAAACAGCAACATAGCCGCGCTCACGTTGAAACCGAAACCAACCAAATTGAAGCAACCTAATGGCGCCGAGTGCGTCAGCGCCCTCTGTGCGCCGGTGAGGCAACTACTAAAATGAAAAGGTCTATAGCGATACCTGGCATCCATCCCCACTAAAAAAGTAAAGAGCGATGTGTTGAAGTACTTTTGATGTGTTGAGGTACTTTTCTGCGGAGCTTGAACTGTAATATAATGGGCCATAGTAAAACGAGATCTTAATTCTGTAAAATCATGTCGGCAATCATCAGTGTAGTTCCAGATGGGGCGCAATTGAAGCGCAAAAAAGATGAAGAGATGTCCCTAGAAGAGGAAGTATTGATTTACAAAAGCGAGTGAATGTGCACCACTCTTACTCGCATAAGTAACGTAAAACTTTCTGGTGGTTGCTAGAATTTTCCCGATACACGTATCCTCACAAAGACAGCACTATCATTGAGTTTTGAGAGTCGGGACCTTAAAGAAGTGAAATGCGTTTCCAATTCTCTATCACCGAATTGGAGCGCAGCTCTTGAGGAGGAGGAGGGAAGGGTATGCCCCTGCTCCCGCTCCGTACCCTCCTCTCCTCATCTCCTGCCCTCGTCCCATCTAGCGGAAATATTTTCCCGGCTAAATTTAGCGGGGAATTTATTTCGCTATATTTAGCGGGGAATTGTTTCAGCAAAATTGAGTGGGGATATATTTAGAATTTTTTCCGCTAAATTTAATGGGGAAATTTTACCCTCGTGACTTCAGACATGACGTCACGTGTAACGTCATTATGGAAGCGTCTCATAATGCAACGCGCGGTTACGCCGACGGTGACGTCGCTCAGCCCAGAAACGAGCGCCTAAGAGCTGAGCTCTAAAATATAACATAATATTAGAAACACGTTCAGTGTCGTCTCTTCTGTTCACGCTGTTGCTTTAACTTCACGCACTACCATGACGCAGTGGCGTTGAGACAGGGAGAGGGGGGTGAACACCCCCAAGGCATTTGAGACATCTCTGCTAAAGAATTTGGGGGAAGTACGGAAAAATTCCTTCCCCCCTTTCCCGAACACTTCTGACATCAATGCCATGACTAGTGACCTGGCACGTTATGTAAAGAGCGCTTCGATTGAGGTAGACGCGTCGAATGAACCTGAATTGATGTCGCCCAATCTTTACAGAAACAAGGGCTCGCCTGCAGAAGTGCCAGCAAGAGGCGTGTGACATAAAATGCGACAGGGACGGCTGGGAGCGCAAGGCGGAGGACGCCAGCCGCAAACTGGAGAGCGTACGCAACGACCTTGCAAAGACGACGGCGGACAGAGACAGCTGGAAGCTTAAAGCGGAGGATGCCAGTTACACGCTGAAAAGCGTACGCAACGACCTTGCAAAGACGACGGCGGGCAGAGACAGCTGGAAGCTTAAAGCGGAGGATGCCAGTTACACGCTGAAAAGCGTACGCAACGACCTTGCAAAGACGACGGCGGACAGAGACAGCTGGAAGCTTAAAGCGGAGGATGCCAGTTATACGCTGAAAAGCGTACGCAACGACCTTGCAAAGACGACGGCGGACAGAGACAGCTGGAAGCTTAAAGCGGAGGATGCCAGTTACACGCTGAAAAGCGTACGCAACGACCTTGCAAAGACGACGGCGGGCAGAGACAGCTGGAAGCTTAAAGCGGAGGATGCCAGTTACACGCTGAAAAGCGTACGCAACGACCTTGCAAAGACGACGGCGGACAGAGACAGCTGGAAGCTTAAAGCGGAGGATGCCAGTTACACGCTGAAAAGCGTACGCAACGACCTTGCAAAGACGACGGCCGATAGAGACAGCTGGAAGCGCAAGGCGGTGGACGCTAACAACACACTGGGAAGTCTACCTGACTCTCTTGCAAGGACGACGGCAAACGGGGAAAGCTGGAAGTGTAGTGCCCTATTGAACAAATTCATTTCGGTGATATTGGTGATTGTGTGTGTAGAGGGAATTTGTGTGATAACGGAGAAGTGGCAGTGACGGCGCCGAGGAACAAGACAAAGAAAAAATTGGCAGGTGGCTCGGGTGCCTGAATAAACTATGCTTCCGAAAATTCCTGCATGAAACACTGTGCACGTTGCATTACAGGACCTCCTTGGACATGGAGAGGCGTGGTATGATTTCGATTTCGATCGCCGCATTGACAAATGAGTGCGCTTCAGCGCTCGCTTGCATCGCACCCATACATCTTCGTGAGAGCCCTGGATGAGACACGGGCCTCCATCGGCCCTAGGGACTCACACTGGCTGTTAAGCTGCGTTTTCAAAGCGGATGCGGTTCGTGAGCGAACCCCCTTCAGAAACACCGAGAGGCGGTTGGCGGTTTCTCGGCGATCACGTCTGACCGTTTAAAACTTGCGTTTGGCCAGCTAGTTGTACAATCCAAGATCCTGATTAATCTACGCACTAAATCCACGATCTGAAGTTGAAATTTAGCTGTTTTGGTACTGAAGGTGTTTCTTGGTTATGTTCGTACTCATCACGAGTTTAGAAAGCGAATAAAGGGACTCTCATAACCCGCCTGCGATTCCCTCGACTTGGTGCACAAGCAAAGCCCAGCTATCGACCTCTTAACTCTTTGACGTCACGCGACTGCGGTGGCGCTGCTGTCGGCACTGAGCATGCACAGATGCTCAGGCTGGTTTCTGCACATGCGCAGTGCACACACCCTTTGTGGGCAGCTCTTTGTAAACAGTGGTCGATACTTGGTCTCATCTTAGCTCCGATCGTGGCCAAAGCTACGGTTGGCCGGGGCCAATCAAACGCCGGCGATAGGACGCGACTTCGCCCGCACTTTGTGTATCACTCCGCGCAGAATCTGCGCAGAGGAGTCGAAGACAGACATTTCGTCTGCTACGGGAGTATCGACGACATCATCTCCTACGCAATTAAAAATGCCATTTCATGTCCTGGAATAAAGCTCCAGTTCAGTGCGGTGGCTGCTGGGTTTTGCGGAGGGCCGTCTCGCTTCTGGAAGTGTTGAGGAATTGGCACACCCATTCTAATTCCATTCCTTTCAGTTCCTTGCAATGAAAACACTAGGCCGATTCCCACTCCAGGAATACTCCACCATGCCATTCCTTTAATTCTTAAATGTGAAAAAAAAGGCAAATGACAGCCACAATGTGTTACTGGAAAAGAAGCAGCGTAAAGGAGCCTCGGCGAACTTAGCCAGCTCGCAGTTTCTAATTATGATGAAATAAATGCAAAGGTGCAAGCGAGCTGGTTTCTGTTGGCAATATTGACACCAGACTTTTCGGCCCAAATGGGACGCCAGTGGATTTGAATCCGAAAGATCTGTATCTGAAGGTTGCTGCCGCCAACGTTAGTTGCTGTTGCTGCATGCTTACCGTGCTGTTCTGAAGCACGGGTCACTTCGTCTGAATATTTGAATAGTGGAGCAAACGTGTGACCATCGCCATCCCGCAGCCCGCGTTGGTCCGCCCCGCGGCCCCGCGCAGAAAACTTGGGGACCAAGGCGAGCGGGCAGTGAGGCGTATGAAGGAGCAAGGTACGAGCTGCCAGATCGTGATTGCGTTAAGGTGGCTGGAACGCGTCTCCAACTGGTGTGTTTACCGAGTCCAAAAATGTGGCCCCTCGATTTCCGCCTCATGACGTCATAGAACTGTCATGATGTCGCCAGTCGCGATTCTGGCGGCGTCTCAAGAGCTCTAGTGTATGTGGCACACGCCTGTTCTGTTGCAGATCGCTCTCCAGTGTGACAGTTCACGGAAACTTCGACGGTCAAAAGTTGGGACGCCGTGTCGACGGCGATACTCCCGTTCGCTCGTGCTACTTGCTGATTCTCGTCAGCATTACTACGACCAACCGCGAGGATCGCAACATGCAAGAGCATGACACTGCGGCTTCTTTGACGTCATTTGTTGCGACTTCGGTACCACTTTTGATGTATGGGCAGCATAGGACGCCAAACACACCAGTCGAAGACGCTCTCCTGGCACCATAATGGCGCTGATTGCGCTTTGAAGACGGTATGCCGCGCAGTCAAGAGCTACTTCAAGCGATGTGGCAGTGATGTCAATAGAGTGCCTTTCATAGCAGACTTGCTGCAAGCTGTGAAAAGAAAAAAAAGGAGATGGAGAACATTGTGCCTGGACAAGTGCTGTTAGCGCGTCTAATGCGAAATTGGCTCAGAATCTCGAAAAAGTGAAGTGTGTCCGTGAGGAATTGACGAAGTCCCAATAGATTTATATGTGCAAGGACATTTATTATCGTATTCTAGTCAATGGGAAATGAGACTATTCATGTAAATACATTTTATTTTTCGGTACCAATTACTAGTCAATGCTGAGCAATGAAAGCTATTTGTGCTTGTTTATATTTACCTATTTGCAAGTCGGTTCCCACACGTGTCACTTTGTCATGGACAGTTTTGCTTAGTATGTGATGTGTCATTTCCAAGTAATTGTGAAACGTTTTTGCAACTAAAAAGTTTACTGACACTACCGTTAAGTTCACTTGGAGTTATCTGTATGCAAATTTTTTTTTTTTCAAAGTCAGGTGACATTTAGCCTCTTTTTTAACATTCTTAAAACTCGTATGCTGCTCCCAACTTGCTCCAAACTGGAAATTGTTTGCTCCCAAGATTGCTCCAAAGCAGCTTTGCCCAGTTCCATCCCTGGAAGCGTGTTGCTTGTTTTATAAGGCATTAAAAATGTCATGTTTGTGCGTGGCGCAAGAAGAAGCTAACTTTCTCTTTGCTTCGAATACTTGCACAACAGCACTGCTAGTGCGCTGTTTGAAGCGACGCCGCGTATACCTGCCCCGAATCTCCACGCACTGCGGTAAGAACAAAAAACCGCTGACAAAGTGCAATCCGTATATGGCGCCAGCAGAAGAGAGTGTAGCAGCCTATTATAGAACCTGCCTTAAAATGTAAACTTTTACGGTTGCTGTACGATTCTTGCAATTTCTTAACACAAGAAATCCAATTTTTTATTTGTGTTCCACGCAAACACTAAGAAGATTGGCTGCGTTAAAAGCAGAGAGTCGAACCGGGCATTTTTCCTGTTCGATTCGGGTTCAGTCGCATTGAATTTTGTTCCGGTTTGGTTCTGATTCAGTGACGCTTTTGAAATAACGGTTCGGTTAGCAATTCCACCAAGAGCGAACCAGGTTAAACCGGTTCTTAAAAAAAAAAGAAGAAAGTCCACCGTTCCCAGAAGAAAAGGTCAGGTAAACACTCCGTCATTTGCATCAAAAAGAAAGGTCAGCAGAGGCAGTGCTCCGGAAACGAGGGCAGCAAAAACTAATCTATGCCCAAATTGGTTTTGTGAACTTGAATATTTAACGCGAACACCGTTCAATGAAAGTTACGTGGTTATATAGGCGCTTGGAATCAGTACCAAAGCAGAGTACTCGGATGTGAAGTCAATCAGCCAGCACGCACCGTGACACCATAATAGTAGTACGCACCATACTCGCAAACTACCCACAAAAAACAAATAAGTAGAAAAGTTTTTAGACAGTAGGAGTTTAGTCTACCGGAGTGTGTACGTTTTTACCCAATGTAGATGAGAAATTTAGCCAGTGCAGTACGACTGCTAGCGTGGGTCTTTAACGGATATCACGAAGTACAGGGTGTCACAAAAGAAAATTTACACTGTCTTTTTTACCGCAAAAATAAACTAGGCATCGCCGAACGCTCATTGTCTGCGCGAAGGTAGAGCTAGAGGTCACAACCAAATGCCAAAGTTTCAGCCCGATTCGATAACTTAATCAAAAATTATAAGTGATTTTCTGAAAATTTCAATGGGAAAATGGGGCCCATTTTTTCCTGTTTTCGGTTTCTGGTTCCACAGAGCCCCATGTGTTTGAAAACTCCGTCGGCCGCCATTTTCCCATTGGAAGTTTCAGAAAATCACTTATAACTTTTGATTAAGTTATCGGATCGGGCTGAAACTTTGGCACCTGGTTGTGACCTCTAGCTCTACCTTTTGGCGGAGAATGAGCGTTCGGCGACGCCTAGTATATTTTTGCGGTAAAAAAGACCGTGTAAATTTTCTTTTGTGACAGCCTGTACTGATACACGACCACACGCCGCTACGATTCTCATCCAGATCGAAATGGCACCCAAACCTCACGCCCGAACGAGTTGCTCGAACGACTGGGTTGAAGAGGAGAAAGAGAGCAAAAGCCCGTCGAGTGACGAATAAAACAAAAAAAAAAAAAAAGACAAAAAATACAACTGGCGACTTGCTGTTTCTAGAAAACCCACACACACTACACACACACAATTATATTGCAAGCAGCCTCCAGGGCTCTGGCGTTCCGGCGACCGTCGCCGCAGTGTCGCGCTTGTCGCGGCTTCGCCTCTTCGTGCCTCCAGATTTCGCCGCCGCGCAACGAACGCGCCGACAGCCGTAAAGTTTTTGTTTTTATTTTCCCGTTTATGTTTGCCTTATCCTTTCTTGAGAAATACTGCTTAGAAGCAAGAAAAGAATAGCTCCTTAACCTCTCGGCATATCAGCTACACTCAGTTTCACTTTGCGACGTACCGCGATGGACGCTACAAGCTACACTTCCCAATCCGTAGTTCCTAGCTTGTCTCGTGACATCGCGCTCCCCGCGTCGCTCTGCCCAACCGGAAGGACACGTGACGCTCTCCGAGCTATGAATTGGCTCCTGTGGCTCGTAGCGTCCTTTGTGCTCCATCGTAAGGTGAAACAAAGTAAACAAGTGTACGCCTCAACGCTGACTTGCCGACGCCATGTCGTGCTGTACATAAACGTGAAATATACTTATTTGTTGCCTCATTATTGAGCTCTCTCCATGTCGTCGCTGCTGTTTGTTTAGTCAAAACTGAGCCGCTGACGCCACCGTCACAAATATTTAATTGACTTCGCACCGCCACACACAAGAAGGCGAGGCTCACGTTTCGTTACGGATAATCCTCTCCAATGAATTGGTAACTGCCAGATGAGATTACATTTTTGCCCCAGTTCGGATAAATATCAAATGTTTGATTTCGATTAGAGTCTTGTTTCGGTTTAGTTAAAAATAAAGGTTTTACTCCGGTTTTCGGTTCGGTTCG